ACTGTGGTAATCATCCCTTTATAACTGTGGTAAGTGTTCCTTTATGACAGTGGTAAGTGTTCCTTCATGATTGTGGTAAATGCTCCTTTATGACTTTGGTAGGTGTTCCTTTATGACTTTGGTAGGTGTTCCTTTATGACAGTGGTAGATGTTCCTTTATGACAGTGGTAGGTATTCCTTTATGACTTTGGTAGGTGTTCCTTTATGACTTTGGTAGGTGTTCCTTTATGAAAGTGGTGAAATGTTCCTTGATGACTGTGGTAAATGTTCCTGTAGAACTGTGGTAAGCTAACAAGGCCTGTGATTGGTGATGTTTAGGTGTGAAGACTGTAACAATCTGATGGGTTGAGCAAGCCGTCTCTGTCAATGGCTGTAATTGGATTTTCTTGTTCATGTTACAAGGAATCTATAATCCCGAAAATATGAAATGGTCAGAAGCAGTAAAAGGTTGTGTGAGGTCATGGCCTGGTATTGATATGGCATGTACAGCATGTAGATGGGGTCAAACAGATAGCATGCAGTACTGGGGATACCACCCATTACATGACTAGTATATACCAGGGCTGTGTTTTAGAGACATCAGTACTGGGGATACCACCCATGTCATGACTAGTATACCAGGGCTGTGTTTTAGAGACATCAGTACTGGGGATACCACCCATTACATGACTAGTATATACAAGGGCTGTGTTTTAGAGACATCAGTACTGGGGATAACACCCATGTCATGACTAGTATACCAGGGCTGTGTTTTAGAGACATCAGTACTGGGGATCCCACCCATTACATGTCTGGTATACCAGGGCTGTGTTTCAGAGACATCAGTACTCGGGATACCACCCATTACATGACTAGTATATACAAGGGCTGTGTTTTAGAGACATCAGTAATGGGGATACCACCCATTACATGACTAGTATATCCCAGGGCTGTGTTTTAGAGACATCAGTTCTGGGGATACCACCCATGTCATGACTAGTATATACCAGGGCTGTGTTTTAGAGACATCAGTTCTGGGGATACCACCCATGTCATGACTAGTATATACCAGGGCTGTGTTTTAGGGACATCAGTACTGGGGATACCACCCATTACAGGACTAGTATACCCGGGCTGTGTTTTAGAGACATCAGTACTGGGGATCCCACCCATTACATGTCTGGTATACCAGGGCTGTGTTTCAGAGACATCAGTCCTGGGGATCCCCCCCATTACATGACTAGTATATACCATGACTAGTATATATCAGGGCTGTGTTTTAGAGACATCAGTACTTGGGATACCACCCATAACATGACTAGTATATACCAGGGCTGTGTTTTAGGGACATCAGTACTGGGGATACCACCCATTACAGGACTAGTATACCCGGGCTGTGTTTTAGAGACATCAGTACTGGGGAAACCACCCATTACATGACTAGTATATACCAGGGCTGTGTTTAAGAGACACCAGTACTGGGGATACCACCCATGTCATGACTAGTATATACCATGACTAGTATATACCAGGGCTGTGTTTTAGAAACATCAGTACTGGGGATACCACCCATCACATGACTAGTATATACTAGGGCTGTGTTTTAGAGACATCAGTACTGGGGATCCCCCCCATTACATGACTGGTATACCAGGGCTGTGTTTTAGAGACATCAGTTCTGGGGATACCACCCATGTCATGACTAGTATATACCATGACTAGTATATACCACCAGGGCTGTGTTTTAGAGACATCAGTACTCGGGATACCACCCATTACATGACTAGTATATACCAGGGCTGTGTTTAAGAGACATCAGTACTGGGGATACCCCCCATGTCATGACTAGTATATACCAGGGCTGTGTTTTAGGGACATCAGTACTGGGGATACCACCCATGTCATGACTAGTATATACCAGGGCTGTGTTTTAGAGACATCAGTTCTGGGGATACCACCCATGTCATGACTAGTATATACCAGGGCTGTGTTTTAGAGACATCAGTCCTGGGGATACCACCCATTACATGACTAGTATATACAAGGGCTGTGTTTTAGATACATCAGTACTGGGGATAACACCCATGTCATGACTAGTATACCAGGTCTGTGTTTTAGAGACATCAGTACTGGGGATACCAGGGCTGTGTTTAAGAGACATCAGTACTGGGGATACCCCCCATGTCATGACTAGTATATACCAGGGCTGTGGTTTAGAGACATCAGTACTCGGGATACCACCCATTACATGACTAGTATATACAAGGGCTGTGTTTTAGAGACATCAGTACTGGGGATACCACCCATTACATGACTGGTATACCAGGGCTGTGTTTCAGAGACATCAGTACTGGGGATACCACCCATTACATGACTAGTATATACCATGACTAGTATATATCAGGGCTGTGTTTTAGAGACATCAGTACTGGGGATACCACCCATTACATGACTAGTATATACCATGACTAGTATATATCAGGGCTGTGTTTTAGAGACATCAGTACTGTGGATACCACCCATGTCATGACTAGTATATACCAGGGCTGTGTTTTAGAGACATCAATACTGGGGATACCACCTCTGTCATGACTAGTATACCAGGGCTGTGTTTTAGATCATACATTCTTGACAGGTCTAAGTAGATACTTTATCTTGCACACTTGTATATATCTTTAAAACATTTTAATAGATTTTGGAAGGGTAAATGTTTGTCTGCTAGCTGACTTCCTCAGTGCTGAAACATGGTACAATGTAGCGTTTTGCTTAAAATGTTATTTTCAATGAATTTTCAAATTTGCATCATTTGAAAGACTTAAAATGTCTTCAATTTTTTAGCTCACCTGGCACAAAGGGCAAAGTGAGCTTATGGCAACGTGCGGCGTCTGGCGTCCGTCCGGCGTCAACTTTTTATTTTAAACAACTTTTTCTCAGTAACCAAAAGGCCTAGTGTGATGATATTTGGCCAGAAGCATGCTGGGATGAAGGGCTACCAAGTTCGTTCAAATAAATGACCTTTATCCATTTTCAAGGTCACAGGGGTCAAATATGTTAAAACCTTTAAACAACTTCTTCTGAATAACCAAGAGGCCTAGGGTGATGCTAGTCGGCTAGTAACATGCTGGGATGAAGGGCTACCAAGTTTGTTCAAATGAATGACCTTGACTTATATTCAAGGTCACAGGGGTCCAATATGTTTAAAACCTTTAAACAACTTCTTCTGAATAACCAAGAGGCCTAGGGTGATGCTAGTCGGCTAGTAACATGCTGGGATGAAGGGCTACCAAGTTTGTTCAAATGAATGACCTTGACTTATATTCAAGGTCACAGGGGTCCAATATGTTTAAAACCTTTAAACAACTTCTTCTGAATAACCAAGAGGCCTAGGGTGATGCTAGTCGGCTAGTAACATGCTGGGATGAAGGGCTACCAAGTTTGTTCAAATGAATGACCTTGACTTATATTCAAGGTCACAGGGGTCCAATATGTTTAAAACCTTTAAACAACTTCTTCTGAATAACCAAGAGGCCTAGGGTGATGATAGTTGGCCTGTAACAAGCTGGGATGAAGGGCTACCAAGTTTGTTCAAATAAATGACTTTGAATCATATTCAAGGTCACAGGGGTCAAATATGTTAAAAACCTTTAAACAACTTCTTCTGAATAACCAAGAGGCCTAGGGTGATGATAGTTGGCCTGTAACAAGCTGGGATGAAGGGCTACCAAGTTTGTTCAAATGAATGACTTTGAATCATATTTAAGGTCATAGTGGTCAATATATGTTTAAATCTTTAAATGATTTGTTCTGTATAACCAAAAGATCCAGGGTAATGATATTTTGCTGCATGCTGGGTTGGAAGACTATAAACTCTGTTCAACCTAATGTCCTTGTTCAACATTCAAGGTCACAGGTCATATGTTTAAATCTTTTAAGTTCTTATGAATCAAACACTGATATTCTGCCTGTAGTTGTATTTTAGTCCACTTTTAAGATTACAAGTGTGAGATTAATACCAGGTGAGCGATTCAGGCCCATTGGGCCTCTTGTTTTTAAAAAAAATCAATGCTTTCTGAATATCAAATTAAGACAAATACTACATGATTGGTTGATTTATATGATGCAGTTAACAGTGGTATATACCTGTACTTGTAGGAGTACATGTTCTCATGCTGTATACTGACAAAATCCCTTCTCCCAGTGTTACCGAGATCCGTGTCACTCCCCCTAGTAGTGTTAAAATACAAAAGTGATAGTGCCCGACTGGCTGGTCTTCCCATCAGTACCAGAGGTTTTATCATGTGATATAATAAAACAATCGTGATACATTTCCTTATTTTATTAGAGTGTTTTCAAGCTCTATAGTAAAACATATAGGTCTACATATAATGTGCTGTTATAAAGGTTTAAGACATCACCCACTGATATCAAGTTTCTTCTTTTATGAAATAAAAATAATGTAAAAATTAGAAATTTTGGTATTGTGGAAATGTTTGCATTGTGACTCCATAAACTGTTCACCGTATGAAATTTTGCTTTGGCAAAGGTTCCCAACTCTATCTATTCTATATTTATATAATCTAAGAAATGTATTGATAAATATTCTTTCATGTGTGGGTATTAAATTTGTGCTAAATTACTCACCTTAACAGTTTCTTTGTTTAGTCTGGTTGATAAATGAAAAATCACTATGAAAGCTACCAGTTTCTTTGTCTCCAGGTAAAGCAACAAGTTTGAAAAAAAAATGTATTTTTAAAAGTGAAAATTTGTTAGTGGATTTGCATTTAGGAAAGTAATAGCTGACACTTGTTATGAGGGACAAACCCTGTTGTGAAGATTTGTCCACAATCCCAGTGCCACGTTGTAGTTCTAAATATCTAATAAAGAATCTATTTAGGTTTGCTAGCTGAGACCCAAGAAATCAGATTAAAATAGGGATTCAGGTTTATAGGTGTATAACGAAGTTTTTCTGTAACAGTTAACATCTATATATATTATCTCCACTGTTTTCCTTGCTTTCCTAGGACGACCACAAATACTACCACTCCCAGATCTTGCCCCCGGAGTATGTAGAGGACCACTGGGTAGAGCAGAAGGATGCTGTCAAACACAAAACACTGTCCGACAACTACAGAGTCGCTGTCGTAAGTATAACTACAGTCACTGATGTAAGTACAACTACAGGGTCACTGGCTTAAGTATAACTACAGTTGCCGTTGTAAGTACAACTACAGTCACTGGCTTAAGTATGACTACAGTTGCTTTTGTAAGTACAACTACAGTCACTGGGTTAAGTATAACTACAGTTGCTTTTGTAAGGACAACTACAGTCACTGGCTTAAGTATAACTACAGTTGCCGTTGTAAGTACAACTACAGTCACTGGCTTAAGTATGACTACAGTTGCTTTTGTAAGTACAACTACAGTCACTGGCTTAAGTATAACTACAGTCTCTGATGTAAGTACAACTACAGAGTCACTGTCGTAAGTATAACTACAGTCACTGATGTAAGTACAACTACAGAGTCACTGGCATAAGTATAACTACAGTTGCCTTTGTAAGTACAACTACAGAGTCACTGGCATAAGTATAACTACAGTTGCCTTTGTAAGTACAACTACAGAGTCACTGGCATAAGTATAACTACAGTTGCCTTTGTAAGTACAACTACAGAGTCACTGTCGTCAGTATAACTACAGTCACTGATGTAAGTACAACTACAGAGTCACTGGCGTAAGTATAACTACAGTCACTGATGTAAGTACAACGACAGAGTCACTGGCTTAAGTATAACTACAGTTGCCTTTGTAAGTATAACTACAGAGTTGCTGTTGTAAGTCTCTTTAGCACAGAATCCTTGCTTGAGCATGAGAATAGTTTCTTGGGCCCAGGAGGCCTCAACTGTCAGAAATTTGTGAAACTCACTCTAATGCTAATTTATTAGTGCGACAAAGACACAATTAAATGACGACTGGGTGACTTAAGTTATCTATTGTGTCAACATTATAAATGTTTCGCTCCGGTCATTGATGATATTGATGTAACTTTGGATCTTGTTTTGACAATTCAGTAAGTGTCTGGGATCTACATGGTAAGTGTTTCTGTACCATATACCAGCAAAAAAAACACCATTAAAATGATTTAAAGTATCTGAAAGGTCAATGAGTCATTTATTTTGGTCAAAGGTCAAAGCAGTTGGGAAAAAATGACTGGCATGTTGCTTAATGTTTATGAACAAACAGATGCTCACAATTATGCTCCCCCAAAACACACGCACACACACGAACACAAAAACTGTTAGGTCAACCTCTTTACTTTAGGGAAGGGGATAATCAAAAATCAAATACGGTAAGTTTGAGCTAATTTGTCTGTTAGGGAAGAGATGTTAACTCATTCACCCCTGAAGATCACATTTGATCTCTTCCAATTCAAAGGTTGGAATAGTTCATTATGAATGTTTGGGGTGAATGAGTTAAAGGCTGTATGTGGATTGTGTGCTAGTTGTAACTGATATGTCAGGTCGTCTGTCCTGGTACAATATGCCTTGTTGTATTGTCTGCACCGCTACGAGCATCTCCTTAACTGATGAAAATAAAGTCGTGTTTGAAATGTCCTCATGATGTCTGAAGGATATTCCTGAAACATTCATGAGAAAACATTCCGAGGAAATAGAATTGTCTTTGAAATATTTTCCATACAATCATGAGATTTCCTTGAAACATTTTGATAAAAACTATTTGTATTACCTCTTTGAAGGGTCACATGACGTTCTGGTTTCACCTAGATCCGGTAACAAACCTGTGCCTGGCATGTCTAATGCTGTAAATATAATCTTCTGCTTTGTTGTTTTTCAGAGTGTACAGATGAGTTTCAAATTCCGCTTTTATGGTCATGAGATAAATTCGGTTACCATAGCAACAGGAGGTGGGTAGAACCGATTTCAACACTGATTTGATGTTTATTTGTCCTTAGGTATTCTGTGTACCCATTGTAAATTTATCTCGTGCATCTATAAAGTAGTGTTTGATCAACGTAATTCAACAGTAGTTGCTACGTAGGAGAGTTCCAATTTAGTTTCTGTTTTAATGTATCTGCAGGTTTTGCTTGCATTTTCAGTTTAGTCCTGATGGCTGACATATTGCTTTCTCCATATCTAGGCCATTCCTTAACACTGATCAACACATAGATTTCCTCAACTCTTAAGTAGACTCAGTAGCTCAATATTTCTTAAAGGACAGATTTAAATGTCACGCAGTCTAATATAATTTGATGGACAAAGATACTGTAATACCTTAAGAAATGCTCTGTAGTTAAAAATGTTGTCAGAGATTTGAAGGTCTAAGGGTCATATTGGTGATATCAACTAGGAAATCACAAATTTGTCAATTGCAATTATGTATTTTTTCAGCATTGTTATTTGTCAAAGGGAAAATAATTGTGGTATATACATATCTTTTTGTAACTTGAACCTATGTAATTTGAAACCCTATTTATTAGCTCACCTGGTCCGAAGGACCAAGGTGAGCTTATGCCATACTGTAGCGTCCGTTGTCCATCCGTCAACAATTTCTTTAAACAACTTCTTCTTCTTAACCACTGATTGGAATTTAACTAAATTTGACTGGGAGCATCCCTAGTTGGTGGGGATTCAAAATTCTACAAATGGCTGAGGGGCGGGGCTTAAAGGGGGGCAATTTGGCTTTATTGCTTTAAGAGACTTCTTCTCTGGAACTAAGAGTTGGATATCAACCATATTTGACTGGAAGCATCCCTAGGTGGTGGGGATTCAAAATTGTACAAATTGTGGGGCTGACCCCCCGGGGGCTGAGGGTCTGGGCCTAAAGGGGGCAATTTGGCCATATTGCTACAAACGACTTCTTCTGTAGAACTATGCGCTGGATATCAATCATATTTAATCAAAAGCATTTATTGGAGGCAGGGATTTAAAATTGTACAAATGATGGGGCTGACCCCCCAGGGGGCTGAGGGGCGGGGCCAAAAAGGGTTATTTGGCTAAATTGCTTCAACGACATCTTCTCTGGAACTAAGAGATGGATATCAACCATATTTGATTTGAAGCATCCCAAGGTGGTGGAGATTCAAAATTGTACAAATGGTGCGGCTGACCATCCAGGGGGCTGATGGCGTGGCCAAAACGGGGCAATTTGGCTATATTGCTATAAACGACTTCTTCTGTAGAACTATGCCATGGATATCGATCATATTTGGTCGGAAGCAGACATGGGAGGCAGGGATTCAAAATTATACAAAAAGTGGGGCTGACCCCCCCCGGGCTAAGGGGTGGGGCCAAAAATGTGTATTACTTGGAAATGGTTGAGATCCCCAACATATAACCATATATACAATTGCTGAGTATAAAGAGAAGAATGCACATTTGCTTCCAGGATGGCCCTATGGTCTGGCTCCAGGGTCTGGCCCCACCCTTGGAGACATAGTCCCTGGGCCATAACTTTGAAACGGGTAAGATCCCCACCCCAAAACTACATATACAATTGTTGCATGGCATAAAGAGACGAATGCAGTCATGATATTAGAATTGACCCCAATGTCTGCCCCACCCTTGCAGACTTAACCCCTGGGTCATAACTTTGGAAGGGTTGAGATCCCCACCCCAAAACTATATATACAAATGCTAGGTAAAAAGAGACAAATGCAGTCACGATATTAGAATTGGCCAAAACCCTAGGGACCTAGTTTCTGAGTCACAGCTTGGAAACAGTTAAGATCCCCACCCCATAACCATACGTAAAATTGCTGGGCATGAAAAATCTAATACAGATATGCTACAAGGATTGGCCTTGGGGTTTGGCATATTCCCTTGGATCTCATTTGGAGAATATTTTGCCATGATTGCTTAGATATCCAGGTGAGCGATACAGGCCCTCTGGGCCTCTTGTTTCATACAAAAACATCTCTCTCAAATGGGTTCTTATGTTCTTCAGTTGCAATGTGTATAGATTGTAGAAATGTTTATACAGCACAACCAGTGAAAAGGGTATGTGATTCATTTGGATGACTATGATATAGTCACCTTAATATCTGATAAATGACCAATAACACATATGTACCCTAAAGTGTAAAATATGGAATTTCTGTTGATTTGACTACACTATAATTGCATGTACACTTAGTTATCCCCTCGAAACAAAAAAGTTTGAGGAGATATGTAAGTACGTACTAGCGACGTCATTCCTCATTGGAATCGCAGGAAACTTGATACAAGTGTGTAGTATGACAATACCTTGAACAAATTCATGTTTCGTGTTTCTTTTTTGAAGGTCAAGGTCACTGTTACTATTTTTAGAAAAACTTTGTCATCGCTCTACGGACTTCATTCCTCAACAGAATTTCTTGAAACTTGATACAATGTTTGGTATGGCAATATCTTGATCAAGTTTGCGTTTCATGTTACTGCATTAAAGGTCAACGCCACTATTACTATTTTTACCAAAAACTTTGTCATCGCTCTATCAACTTCATTCCTCAACAGAATTTCTTGAAACTTGATTCAAGTGTTTGGTATGGCAATATCTTGAGCAAGTTTGCGTTTCAGGTTACTGCATTAAAGGTCAAGGTCACTTTTACTATTTTTAGAGAGAAAAAAATTGTTATCGCTCCAGCCACTTCCCTTTTATTTTTTACATATGTCACAATGTGTGAATGTGAGGGGATTTGTTGGAAATCAATTCGCCAAATTTATTTGGATATGCTTTGTTTCTCATACAGAATTTACTCTTAGTGTACATACACTCTTCTGATTATTTGTCTGATGAAGGTGAGAGGGTACATTTCGTATTGTCATCGAAACCTCACACATAAATATTTCACTGGTTATATTGCTATATAAACCTGTATAAAATCTATACTTACCAATCTGAAGAAATGTTAAGAAAGAGGTATAAACTATTGGTATGATCACAGTGCAACCTTGACAAATGGCTATCTTTCCATCTGCTAACTTATATTAAGGTATTTTTTTAATAACTCCTTTAGACTGGTCCGATGATATATTGCCAAACTTGCTAAAAACAAATGGTGACAAAATAACTAGGTTTAAGTGTGTACAGGTCACTAATGAACCAAAATTTAAATAATAATTTCACTTTTTTCCAATACTTTAGGTTTTCTTTACATGAGTCCTTTTCTGCATAAATGGCTGACAGCGACACAGTACATAGCGCCATTGATGGGAAATTTTGATACCAACCTTGGAAACACATCAGAAATTCTATACAAGGACTACAGTAAGTAATCTGATGGTCATTCACATCCAGGGGAGATCACTACCGTATGTATCGTCAATGCTCAATGGAGTTTTATTCAAATGACTGTGCAGAGTTCTTTATGTGAATTTTAAAATACTGGTGCATTATGTTGAAATTGAAATGACACCAATGTTGATTGGTCTTTCTTGACACTGTATAAATAATAAAAATAAAAAGGCGAGCAATACAGGCACCATGGACCTTTTGTTGTAAAATTATATCCTGATACAATAAAAGAATAGAATAGGATTGTAGATATTTCTGGTGAAACTTGCTTGGAGGGTCTCCACTTGCATATTATATAGTAAGGTGAAGGTCATACAAAGGTGTTATTAGGGATGTATATATAGACATGTTGATTACTTCTGGTAATGTCAGAGTGTAACCAATGTAGCCCACTGACCACACAATTAACGCTACATAGAGATACATACCGAGGCATTAGATTGGAGTAGGATTTGTTTATAACAGCAAGGAACTTACTTTACAATTCAGGAAATGTAAATGATACAGATCCTGGCTGAAAAGGGGGAAGTGTATTGCAGGCCTTCTTGATTAACCAGAATGTATACCATACTTTTAATATTGTTTCGTTTATCATTTTGGGTTTCTCACTTTCTCCTATTGGTGATCATTGTCTAGGTGAGTGTCCAAAATTCCACCGAAGATGAACTTCCCTGTTTTCAAATGTTTGAAAATAACTATAGATATTGTCAGTCATCTACCTGACATGGAGCTATCAGAATAATTACATGCATAGGACATAATAGATACAATATGGAAATGTGTCACTAGTCCTTAAGATCAGAATGATTACATGTGTAGGACATAATAGATACAATATGGAAATGTGTCACTAGTCCTTAAGATCAGAATAATTACATGCGTAGGACATAATAGATACAATATGGAAATGTGTCACTAGTCCTTAAGATCAGAATAATTACATGTGTAGGACATAATAGATACAATATGGAAATGTGTCACTAGTCCTTAAGATCAGAATAATTACATGTGTAGGACATAATAGATACAATATGGAAATGTGTCACTAGTCCTTAAGATCAGAATAATTACATGTGTAGGACATAATAGATACAATATGGAAATGTGTCACTAGTCCTTAAGATCAGAATAATTACATGTGTAGGACATAATAGATACAATATGGAAATGTGTCACTAGTCCTTAAGATCAGAATAATTACATGTGTAGGACATAATAGATACAATATGGAAATGTGTCACTAGTCCTTAAGATCAGAATAATTACATGTGTAGGACATAATAGATACAATATGGAAATGTGTCACTAGTCCTTAAGATCAGAATAATTACATGTGTAGGACATAATAGATACAATATGGAAATGTGTCACTAGTCCTTAAGATCAGAATAATTACATGTGTAGGACATAATAGATACAATATGGAAATGTGTCACTAGTCCTTAAGATCAGAATAATTACATGTGTAGGACATAATAGATACAATATGGAAATGTGTCACTAGTCCTTAAGATCAGAATAATTACATGTGTAGGACATAATAGATACAATATGGAAATGTGTCACTAGTCCTTAAGATCAGAATAATTACATGTGTAGGACATAATAGATACAATATGGAAATGTGTCACTAGTCCTTAAGATCAGAATAATTACATGTGTAGGACATAATAGATACAATATGGAAATGTGTCACTAGTCCTTAAGATCAGAATAATTACATGTGTAGGACATAATAGATACAATATGGAAATGTGTCACTAGTCCTTAAGATCAGAATAATTACATGTGTAGGACATAATAGATACAATATGGAAATGTGTCACTAGTCCTTAAGATCAGAATAATTACATGTGTAGGACATAATAGATACAATATGGAAATGTGTCACTAGTCCTTAAGATCAGAATAATTACATGTGTAGGACATAATAGATACAATATGGAAATGTGTCACTAGTCCTTAAGATCAGAATAATTACATGTGTAGGACATAATAGATACAATATGGAAATGTGTCACTAGTCCTTAAGATCAGAATAATTACATGTGTAGGACATAATAGATACAATATGGAAATGTGTCACTAGTCCTTAAGATCAGAATAATTACATGTGTAGGACATAATAGATACAATATGGAAATGTGTCACTAGTCCTTAAGATCAGAATAATTACATGTGTAGGACATAATAGATACAATATGGAAATGTGTCACTAGTCCTTAAGATCAGAATAATTACATGTGTAGGACATAATAGATACAATATGGAAATGTGTCACTAGTCCTTAAGATCAGAATAATTACATGTGTAGGACATAATAGATACAATATGGAAATGTGTCACTAGTCCTTAAGATCAGAATAATTACATGTGTAGGACATAATAGATACAATATGGAAATGTGTCACTAGTCCTTAAGATCAGAATAATTACATGTGTAGGACATAATAGATACAATATGGAAATGTGTCACTAGTCCTTAAGATCAGAATAATTACATGTGTAGGACATAATAGATACAATATGGAAATGTGTCACTAGTCCTTAAGATCAGAATAATTACATGTGTAGGACATAATAGATACAATATGGAAATGTGTCACTAGTCCTTAAGATCAGAATAATTACATGTGTAGGACATAATAGATACAATATGGAAATGTGTCACTAGTCCTTAAGATCAGAATAATTACATGTGTAGGACATAATAGATACAATATGGAAATGTGTCACTAGTCCTTAAGATCAGAATAATTACATGTGTAGGACATAATAGATACAATATGGAAATGTGTCACTAGTCCTTAAGATCAGAATAATTACATGTGTAGGACATAATAGATACAATATGGAAATGTGTCACTAGTCCTTAAGATCAGAATAATTACATGTGTAGGACATAATAGATACAATATGGAAATGTGTCACTAGTCCTTAAGATCAGAATAATTACATGTGTAGGACATAATAGATACAATATGGAAATGTGTCACTAGTCCTTAAGATCAGAATAATTACATGTGTAGGACATAATAGATACAATATGGAAATGTGTCACTAGTCCTTAAGATCAGAATAATTACATGTGTAGGACATAATAGATACAATATGGAAATGTGTCACTAGTCCTTAAGATCAGAATAATTACATGTGTAGGACATAATAGATACAATATGGAAATGTGTCACTAGTCCTTAAGATCAGAATAATTACATGTGTAGGACATAATAGATACAATATGGAAATGTGTCACTAGTCCTTAAGATCAGAATAATTACATGTGTAGGACATAATAGATACAATATGGAGATGTGTCACTAGTCCTTAAGATCAGAATAATTACATGTGTAGGACATAATAGATACAATATGGAAATGTGTCACTAGTCCTTAAGTATGATGAAACGAAAAAGAAGTAATGTTAAGGGCATTGTATTTTATTACAGTTAAAGTGATTGGATGCAACAGTAAACTTTTTGTAGCAATTTGTCTTCCAAAGGATCATGGTCAAATAAACTGGAATGTTGTTTGTCTATAAATGGGAAAACGTAAATCAATTGATTTTTTTCGTTTATCACCAACGATTTTATATTTCATTTATAATGCATACCTTATTCTGTTTATCTTAAACTATGGCAGTAGGATCCAAGAAAAAATACATTAAACACACAAGTTTTTGCCTTAGAAATGGACATGTCTCTGTCCCTTGAGATTTTATACTGCAAGGGAAGTAATCAGCATCATATTCAGAAAATGCTTTTTAGCTCAAGATTGTAAAAAATTACAGATATTTGAAGGAAAAAGAAAACATCAAGTGAAAAGGATTAACTTCATTCAAGATAAAAGTACAAAATTAATTTCAAAACATTGTGAGTTACCTCCCTATGATATTGTAACCCCCCCCCCCGTTAATATAATTTTCGGATATAACTTTATGTTATTAAATATGAAGATATATGTGTAACAAAACAGTTTTATCATTTTTGAAGGACAAACAAAATAAGTTCTTCACCTTTAAAAGATTATAAAATGTTTTTACCAAATTGTTTACAAATAATCCAAAGAAATCCGGTATCTGAATTGTTACATTCAGACAGTAGATTGTGACTGTGTTCTGTACTTACTGCACCATACACTTCTATTGTAGACCTTGTTATGAATAAAGACATAATCATAAAAATATCACATAATACAAATAATAAGTGCTATTAGTAATGAATCATGAATCAGATAGTTATCTCCCCTTGAAAAGAGAAATCTCCCCTTTGTTTGGTAGTTATTTTGCTTTAAAGGTGTCTTTGCCAGTAGCATCATAACAATGTGATAAAAGAGATGTTGGTTGTGTGTGATAGACCTATAGCTACAATGATCAAAGATATTGATGTAAGCCCGGTGAACAATCTTCTGTCCGTGTATAATATTGCTGTCTGTGTTATATGTTGGCATTTATCTTTTATTGATACCAGTTTATCATTGCAGACCTTTTGTGATGAAACAGTAGGTGCATTTTATTTCAAAATGGCCACCTCTTGTGTGAACAGACAAACATTGGTAGACTGTCACTGCCATTATATCTTCGTCTGATCGAGATCGAGAAAAACAAATTGTTGGGATGGATTTGTATCGTCAGTAAATGTTACTTGATATGCTTGTTGTTCCCTGGAGTTATGGTCGTCCTGTCAGATGTCTGACTGCTCATACCCCACTCTGTAGTAAACGATATGGGATTGTAACGCAATAACATCAGTATCTCAATGTTGATACAACACCATTTCATGGTTGGTTTCTGAAACCCATGGGACTCGATAACGTTCCCTTGTTTTAACAGTGTGCTGTATGATATCTACTTCTATAGCACACGTCCTACAATAATCACCATTTTGTTTTACCTATTTGTATATCAAGCAGTACTTACAGCCTCGAGTGTTTATAGAAGCCATCTGTAACGATAGTACAGTGAATACACCTGTG